CATGCGCTGGTCCGGTGTTTTGGAGGTTTCGGGATTGAGTTGGGATACCCAGGCCAGATGGCAGGTGATGAGCCTCGTTGTCTGATGAATGTGACTCCTGGCGTGGTCCGTTGGCGGCGGAGTTGGTTTGCGATTCGTGTTCTTGAGCGAACGGCCGCATGTGATTCGTGCTTGCGGAAAATGCGTGCGTAAGCTGGGCCGAAGGTTTCAATGCATTGATGATTGAGAGGTCATCTCATCGATGGTGGCTGTCGGATGGGGTCTCCAATACGATCGTGAGACCTGAGGCATAGCTGATCTACGCAGTTGCCTTGACACATGCCAGTACTATTTAGTAAAGACAGAGATGGGGTATGAAGTTAGGTAAGCCGACGCCATCGACGGCATAGTTTCTTGCTTTCATCGTGCGGTTCAACCCAGACAGTAGGCACAAATGTATTTGCTTCTAAAGACTGAGGTGGAAGATGGATTTCGACAATCCGGTCATCCCGCTGTCTCGCACCGTGTCCTGCAAGAAATCATTCGTTATCGATCCGTTCGTTCTGCCAGTCAAGTCGGCGCTTAAACTTTTCGGCACGCGTTGGTGATTCGACCTCTCCCACACTACCTAGCCAGAAATGCCTTGCTGAGTCCATAGAACCTCAAGTGAAGCCAAGGGATATAGTCCAGAGAAACAAACCGTGATTATAGAAATGTAGCTTCCCTACTGTGTAAAGACTTTTGTTCACGTGTCATGAGGTCCAGTCATTGAGTGGGGTCGGTCGATGGAATTACCTTGCAGACTCTGACATCGCAAGATTGTGGTGGATTGGATTTGAGTCCGCCAACGGTTGAGAAAAGAGTATCCGTGCAAGTCCAGATGTTGATCTATTTTCTTGATACGAAATCGTTTGTGTTGTTGTAAAGCTATCGCCTTAGGTAGTGCACAAGGTCACGTCATGGTGTGCCTAGTACTTGATGTTGACACTCGGCCGAGACGGCGGTGGATGCCTGGCCGAGGCAGCAGTAACCTTGGCAAATGTCGCTGTGATAGACGAAGCTGACAACATATATGCCAATAGCTTCCCATCACACTGAGAGGCATGAGTTTCACTCTTGGTCTGTTAGAGCTCGATGCCGCCGGGGCTGCATAGACAAGCAGGAGCCAGATTGGAAAGGCGTTGAGGATGTTGACGATCTGCAAGTCGGGTTTCCAGAGTAACACGAGTAAAGTGACCGGGCGGCTCGTGTTTCCGGCCTTAAGTTTGGAGAAATCATGTACTGTCCCGCTGCACCTTAACGACGGGGGGCAGTGCGGTGCCCGGGAGACAAAGCAGCCATGCGCATCGGAACGTCGTCTTAAGGTTTGTTGAAGAAGGAAGGAGTCCAGAATCCGACCTTCCCCAGACTTTTCGAGGTGGGACGACCCAAAAAAAAGATTGAATGGCGCCTGCTTCCAGAAGCTGATAAGATGGGTCGGAGCGCAACCCGACTGGTCCGGTAGATCCCGTCGCAGGACCCCTGCGTCTCGACTTGACACGTGACGACATCTCGACACGGAGCTCTCAGACACGCAACCCGGTTCCGGGAATCTGACACCTGCAGCAAACCGTCCGATTGACAATCGCCAGAACACTGCAGAACCTTACCGTCCCGGTTCTACACGGTCGCCCGATATGAACGGGCTTTCAGTTGGCGGGAAAGCATCCCTCGGTGCCGGTACTATTCCCTGTTCCACCAGACGCAGCTCGTATCTGACTTGAGGCAGCCAACTACGACCCCATCGACCACCTCAATCAACTCTTCCCGCACCCCTCGACCGTCACCTCGGTCAGCCGTGTTTCCGATACGTTGCAAACGCACAAGAATGACCTCGCCGTCGAGATTTCCGAACTCGAGGTCGCCCAGGCCTACGGGCCCGACTCGAGCCTCGAGCGCATGCAGTCCGCCCAAGCCGAACTAGCCCAGCTCTTCCGCAAGATCGAGACGGTACGGTCTCGAGCGATCCAGACCGAGCAAAACATCACCTCGATGACGGCCGATATCAAGCGACTCGATGGCACGAAGCGGAACCTGACGCTGAGCATGACGGCGCTCAAACGACTGCAGATGCTGACGACGGCATACGAGCAGCTGAGGGGCCTGGCCAGGACAAGGCAATACAGGGACTGCGCAAGTCTACTTCAAGCTGTTCTGCAGCTTATGAAGCACTTCAACAGCTACAGGAGCATCGAGCAGATTGCCACTCTGAGCAGAGGGGTTGCGGAACTGCAGCGAGAGCTGCTGGAGCAGGTCTGCGAGGACTTTGAGATTGCTTTCGCCAAGGGAGAGGTCGCTCAGCGCAGGGGCACACTGATCGAGGCCTGCCTGGTCATGGATGCCCTGGGCGACATGGCGCGGACACGGTTGATGAACTGGTACGTGAACACGGAGCTCCGTGAGTACCGTTCGGTGTTCCGGGGTAACGACGAGGCTGGGAATTTGGACAATATCGGCCGCAGGTATGCGTGGTTCAAGCGCATGCTCAAGACCCATGAAGACGAACACGCCGCGATCTTCCCGCCCCATTGGCGCGCGAATGAGCTACTTGCCATGGCCTTCTGCGACGGTACCAGGGACGACTTTAAGGGCATCCTCGAGAGGAGCATGCGACGGACGGACGGTCAGAAGATTGACGTCAACCTCTTGCTGAGCTGTCTGCAAGAAACTTTGGACTTTGAGCACGGCCTCGAGAAGCGTTTTGCGAATGAGCCTCGGGCTAGTATCGATACTTTGAGCTCATCCGACGACAGAGCATCAAACTTCCACGGCTCCATATCCGCCGCCTTCGAGCCTTACTTGAGCTTGTGGGTGGAGTCGCAAGACAAGCAGCTCGCCTCCATGATACCAAAGTACCGCAACCAGCCCTTACTTCCAGAAGACGAGGAGTTTTCGTCACAGGCCGTCATTTCATCTGCCATTGAGCTTTTCCACTTCTATAAACTCACTTTGTCGCAATGCGCAAAGCTATCGACCAGTGACCGGTTACTGGATCTCTCGAGGACGTTAGCGAAGTACCTGGATGAGTACGCACAGCAAGTTCTCCTGCACATTCTCCAAAGAGCGGGACCTCAGGGGCCACCTATTCAGGATGTTATTTTGGTTTTGAATACGGCTGACTTTTGGTCGACAAACACCACCCAATTGGAGGAAAACATCAAGAAGCGCATCGACAACGAGTTCGTTGGCAAGGTCGACCTGTCATCACAAGCTGATGCATTCCTTGGTGTAGCTAGCGCCGCTGTTCTAACACTGGTGCGCAATGTCGAGATTGCTTGCGAAGGTTCGTGGCGCGAGATGCGGAACACGGGCTGGAGCACCATGGAGAGTGTGGGCGACCAGAGCTCTTACGTCGGCGAACTGCTGTCCTCCGTGAACAGCAAGGCCGAGGAGATCTTGGGTCTCGTAGTCAAGCAGCAATATGCCAGGGCATTCTGCGACAACCTCGTGGACCATCTTGTCAACGCTTATATCAGCAATATCGTCCAGTGCCGTCCCGTGTCCGAGGTTGGCGCCGAGCAGGTAGGCTTCCATCCCTCGAGTCGCATTAGTAACCGCTAACCATCATCAGATGTTGCTCGACAAGTACGTCTTGACAAAAGCGTTCGAGAACCTCTTGTCGTATCACAACAAGTCGTCCACCACGACACACACAGCACCAGCAGGTTACGTCAAGAGAGTAAACCAGACGATGAACCGTATAGATCCTCTCCTCAAGACGCTACAAGTGCGTCCGTCGCCACCGGAGGGCCTTGTGCAAGCCTACCTCATTCACATCGGCGACCGCTCCGACACCAACTTCAGAAAGATCCTCGACCTCAAGGGTGTCCGCAAGGGCGACCAAGGCCACCTGGTCGAGCTCTTTGGTATTCACCGTGAGGGCAACATGAGCGACAAGCTCGTGCAGCAGTCCCCGCTGCTGACGCCGCTCATGGCAACGACAGGACTTGGCAGCTCTAGTCTGGGGGCCATCAATGCGAGCACAGCCCTCACGACCGCCAGCAGCGCGATGCCCGGATTGCCGAGCAAGTTCGACGCGACCTCGCTGGGTGAGAAGTTGCTCAGTGCGGCCAGGGACCTAGGGCAAGGAACGGGCCCCGGCGGCATTGCGGGCACGGAGAAGGCGACCATGAACGAGAACCTCAAGAACTTTGGCAAGTTCTTTAGGAGAGATCTTGGAGGTTTTGGGGCGAGGTTCGGGAAGAGGGACGAGAGCGCTGATGGGCACCGGTGATCTTGAGGTTTTGAGCGAGCAAGCACTCGAATCGAGTTGCTTAGATGAATGGAATGAGTGACTTGTCCGCCCTGCATTTGTCCCGAATCACTTTGACCGCATCTGTTGGGAATCGTAGTAGAGACGTCAAACTTGAATGGCTTCCTGTTCCTGAGCAGGTTTGTTCGGGTTCGACATGATGGGTATCGTCGTCGATCCGGCATGATGGCTTTGGGGTCGCTTTCGACTCTGATGCTTTCATTCCCACGAGTTCACATGGGATCCGCAGGCATGGTCGGGCTACTATCCAATGGCCTTTCGCTCTCAGGGCTCTCGCTCTCTCCAGGTACTTGTCTTCGGCGTTCGCCAGGCACTACAAAGTGAGTACACTGGAGAATGCGGCTTGCAATAGACCTGTGCCACACCCCGACTCCACGCTGCCTTCGACGTCGAGGGCAACAAAGATAGCTGTACTCGGCGAGTTGGACCTAGTCATGTCAACCAGATCAACGCGTACGCCGTCTCTTTGAGCGAATCGTCGGCCAGAAAGAGGCGTGGCAAATGATATGAACATCTGTGTCTTGCCTCTGCACCTGCCCGCAGCTAGTATAACCTGCCGGACCATATCCGACGACTCGAGTTGCCAACGCCGAGGCTTTGCCGACGGTCGTACTCGCACCAAAGTGTATACAACAAAAAAGACATCGAAGATATGCCCAGGGGCAAACGCGCAAAAATGTCAAGATGTACAAAGACAGCTTGGTCTAGTCGGACGAGACAGGACTCGAACCCGCAACCCTATCTATCGGGGACCCGATCGAACTTGGGAATGTTCGAGGGGCTTGACCGGAAAGATAAGCGCTGCCATTGCGCCACCCGTCCTAGTTGCATGAAATTATTATAGGGAGAAGGCGACCTATGTTGGTATGTTCAAATGAGTGGGTTTGAGCGGGTATCGTGAGGTCTTTTTTTTTTGTTTTTTCTGCGGCATGGGTTGTGGTTCGGTGGGGTGTTTGGTTCGAAGGCCGAGGTGCCTCCGTCTTCTTGCTTGAGACTCCAGTCCTCTGCATACTGAAGTTGGGAATTTCCTACGGTTTCATGTGATGCCTAAGATGATACACCTGTTGCACACATTGCTGCGTAATTTGGCGGACATCTCTTTGTCAAAGAATCGCAAACACGCACGCTGTGGTGTAAGCAAGAGTAAGATCAAGAAGCATGCAGTAGCTAGAAGTAGTGATCGAGTATAGTTATCACGGCATTGACCAAGGTTGATGATTAGGAGGCCGTGGTCATTTCACAGGCCAGTATCAAGAGGAGATCATGAGGGTAGACTGAAAACTATGTCAGGATAGTTGGGCGGCATGTTCATGATGCAGTGCAATCTGCTTGACTCAACCACGACAGGGTACTGCATTATTATCATAACTATGCTATTCCAGCGAGTCGTGGTCTCCTTTCCTTCGAGCGGAGTCGTCAATCATGTGCTTTTTCGGCAGTAGCTATGCCGTGTGCAAAAGTAATTAGAGTGGCGTCTTCCCTCCGAAGTACATCATGCCTTCAGTGTCGTCGGTACGACTAGATGGCTCATCATCCTACAAATCGTTCAAGCTCCAGCTGCCTGCGGTGCCACTGTCTCTGGCTGCCTGTTGCACACTCCCACGTCGTGCGACGAGTCTTGCTGGTCGTTTCATTGAATAATGCCGTCGTCGTCAGATGGCAATAAATTGCTACTGAGAAATTTATCTTAAGGTGTCACCCCCTAAGACGACTTCCACACGTTGCTGTCCAGCTTCTCATCCGGCACCGCAACGAAGTCCTGGCCCTCCTCGTTCTCGCTCCCGTCGAGCGAACCGTCGTAGGAGCTAGTCTGCCACGCCGACAATTCGTCAACGCGGCGGATGCCCATCATCCACGAGACCAGACCACGCGGTACCCATCGGCCGACAAAACCGTAGACGCTGGCGCCAAGACCAACACGGACAGTGCCGCTGGTGATAGAGCCGTCGATGACGTCAAAGACTGCGTTGTGCAGCTGGCGGAGAGAGCTTCCCTTCAAGCCACGGATGCGGCCGGCCGAGATGGCGGAGGTGCTCTGCATGACGAAGTTACGTCCATAGGCATGACGGGCGTTCTCGGGCCACATCAGCGTCTCGGTGGCGTCGGCGTCGATGCCGGGAGCGCCTTCGAGGAGACCTCTCTGGGAAGGGTGGGTGTGCTTCGCGGGCTGGAAGCCGGTGAAGTCGAAAGTACCCAGCTGCATGTGAGTTACAGGGATGCCCAGAGGTCGCAACTCCGCCGTCAAGACCTCGGTGAAGGCTGACAGGGCGGATGAGACAGTAGCCTCGGGGGCGTGGAAGGGCGGGTTGATGGAGGAGATGATGGAGGGCGTGAAGACGAGCACCTTGGGCGGTGTCCACTTCTCCCCGGGCGGACTCAGACGAGTCGTCAGGAGCGGCAGGAAGGCCTGGATGGTAAGGATGGGGTGGAGAAGGTGGGTGTTGAAGAGGTCTGCAAAGCTGGAGGGCGGGATGGTGGCGATGGGTGACGTCTGGTAGTTGAGCGAAGGGATGAGGATGACGGATTTCAGCTGCAGGTGGTTGGGTTTTGTCCGAGGTGCCGGGGCGTGGGGTGACTGGAGGTACTGGGCGAAGCTATCAATAGCTGCGCCGGCTCTGGGAGGCTGTGACGATGCGTCAGTGGAAGAAGATGCGCACAGTATCTACAATACTCACATCCGTAGTGTCGATGGTCAGAGGCAGGATATCCGGCCTCGCCAAGCTGTGCACCATGCTCTCGTCCTCCTCGGCGTTGCAAACGATGTACACGATGAACCCTCTCCTCTCAAAGTCCAGAGACAGTGACCTCGTCAAAGGCAGAGCCGGCGATCCAGCGATGACAACAACCTCGAGGCGTCCACCGTTCCTGGCCCGTTTCGCCCGGCGCGTCTTCTTGCAAAACCTGCTACTCCTGTACGACCGGTAGGCGACCACTCCCACGACAGCAACGATGACACCGGTAAGGAGCTTGTGCTCCTTCACCCAGCCGTGGACCCTCTCGTAGCGGCTCATGGCTATCACCTCGATGGGAACATGGCGGACGGGGGGCTTTGGCCGCACCGAGTCGGGCAGCCATTCTGTAGATGAAAGTGTCTCTCTCACGGCTTGCGCAGCCTTGTCTACGTGCGGGTTGATGAGGTTCGCGAGGTCGTCGGAGTATCGGCGGATCTGGTTGGGCAGCGAGGACAGCTGTGAAGGGCGGTAGCGTTAGTAGAGCTCTCGTGATCACAAGCTTGGGGCAAATGGGAAATGGTGACGCTTACGACGTCCAGGAACTGCTGATCGTCCGCTGACATGTTGGCGGTGTTGACCAGGTACTATACAGAGAAACACGTGTGAGGTGATGTTGAAGCCCCCGGATTTGACGTTGGAACACTGCTTCGACCTTGCAGAGGTAGCTCGGGGCGAGGTAAAGATAGGTCGGCAAGTGGACTCGCGTCTCGGCAGGAAAAAAAAGGTCAGCGATAGACCAGGTTCAGCGGCCATGCACCTGTGCTCTCGCCCTTTCCACGAACGAGATGTGGGGAAATCCTCCGCCGTGCGGGTCGAGTTTCACTGGCTGCCGCTGCACCGAAGGGTCCGGGCTCGATACGGCGCTAGGCAGTGATTGGTCGACGTCATCGACGCGCCCACCCGCTCTCTGAACTTTGTTTTGTTTCTGCCGGCCTCAACGTCACTGCCGCTGCTCCTGGTCGCGGTGCATGAATCTCCATTTCAGCCTCTATGCTCCGTCACGAACAGCCCCTTTCGAGCCCCTTTTCTTTTGTGATGCACCTGAGTTTGCATTATGTTTACTCGCGATCTATCAGAATTGCTGGTTGTGGTGCTGCAGTTCCTGTCAGTCGACTCAGGAAGACGGCCCATGGAAGTCACCACATTTGCTCGGCTTCGTTTACGACATGGCGAATAACTAAAACGACCTTCGGATTTTGCTTTGCAATGTTCTTCATTTTTCCCAGAATTAACTATCTATATTGTATGCCACCAAAACCCCTACCTTGACCAAGTGGTCTATGTTTTACTGATAAACCATCCCGATATCCCCGACTATCAGAACACGAGACCCTTGGTCTGGTTCATCTTCTTCAAGTTGAAGTTCTTGATCATAAACACAGCAATGAAGCCAAAAATCATGACAGAAGTTCCCGCAGCAAGCATTCTCGTCTGCGCATACCCGTATGCTTGCTGGATCGCAAGCCGCTCCTCACTGCCAACGGGGTAGCTCAGCTGCGTGTCGAGGTCCGAGTAGATGTCCCCCAGACTCTCTAGCGCGGACTCGGGTAGGCACCGCTCGAGAGCCTTCTCAAAGGTGTTGGTCCAGATCGTAGCAGAAATGGTGTTGCCCACAGAACCACCGATGTTGCCGCAGACGCTCAGAACCGCAAGGGCCGCGGCGACGTGCTGGTGGTCGACGGCCGCGAGGATAGCGACCTGCATGCAGAGGATGAAGACGCTTCCGCCGATGGACGTGAAGATCTGGCACATGATGAGGTAGCCGATGTTCTGGCCCGGCTGGCGGAAGTAGATCATCAGGCCCTGGCCGAAGGTATACAGAGGCACGCCGACCAGCAGAAGCCAACGGAAGCGCCCGGTCTTGGAGATGGAGAACCCGACGATGAACAGGAGCACACCAGATACCACATCGAAGGTGTTACCGACATAGCCCGCGTTGGAGACGGAGAGGTCGTTGACGACCTGTAGGAAGGATGTGAAGTAGCTGTTCCAGCAGTAGTATGCGACCTGGTACGTGATGTCGAGAAGGCAGGCGCCCATGACGGTGCGGTCGGCGAAGAACTCAAACTTGAAGAAGGGCTTCGGCGCAAGGAAGAGCTCGTTGAGAAGGAAGAGGCCAAGCACGACGAAGCCGGTGACGATCATGGCGATGATGTAGGCCGATTTCCAGCCGTTCGGCGCTGTGCTGGCAAGGGAGAAGGGGAGGAGGAAGGTGACAAGGCCGCAGGCGAACAAGACGACACCGAGGACTGTCGCAAGAATTATCAGTCAGCATTGTTCGTCCGGACCGGGAGCTTCAGGGAAGGGGGTGTGTTTCTGGGGATACATACCATCGAATTCGATCAGTCCCCACCAAATGTTCTCGACGAAGCTTCGACCGCTGGACTCTCGAATGAGGGTGCCCTTCTTCTTGGCCTTGCGGATGTTCCACTTCAAGATACCGTACATGGGAACTGCCACGACGGGTAGGACAATGGAGAAGCAGCCGAAGCCCCATCGCCAACTGACATTGTTGAGGAAGCCTTCGGCCGCCTTGGGTCCCGCAAACGCCGTAATCATGTAGGGGGACGACGTGAAGGCGAAAGCCAGGCCTCGGTTCTTAAGACGGGTCGAGTCGGCCGTAATGACGTCGATGCTGTAGGTGAGGCCTGACCAGCCAACCTGCCAGAATACCTGTTCTCGCAATTTAGCATGAGTCTTCCCACTTCTATAGGTTTTATTCGAGAGCTTACGGTTGCGGCGCAGTATGTGGCAAGGTTTTGGCTAGCAGCCAGCAGGATCATACCCAGGGTCGCAAAGAGCACCATGAGCAGGAACCCCTCAGCTCGGCCCCAAAGGTCCAGGATCTTGGCCAGCGGGATATACACCGAAGCCGTCATGGCGCTGGACACGATGTCGATGACTGGAAGGAGCGAGTGCGACTCGAAATCGCTGGCTGCGTACGGCGTCAAGCTGTAGAGGACCGAGCTCTGGAATCCGTTCGTGAGATACAGGAACCACATGCTACGTTGAGGAGGCCGATGTTAGTCGCAGCATTCTTCAGAGGAATGGTGCCTAGGCAGAAAGAGATCTCACAAGATGAAGATGGCA